AGAAAGATCAGAGCACTGAGTGCTGCTGCGTGCTAAGGGGAAAAGGCAACATTAGAGAATATAAAAAGGCATTAAATTTTTCTGTCCCGTTATTCATACGTGAATAATCAGCGGGTTTCTTTAAACATGATACATGCATTCATAAAATAGATGACACTGAAATTCAAAAGTGGATTGACTGTAAAATAATATTGACTGTAATATCTCTCTATGATTAGAAAATATTTCATACTGTGGCTATACAGCACCTGGTCTGTTGGTCCATTCTTTCTACCAGACTGAAATATCTCAACAACTCCTAGAATAGTAATGAACTTTTGTACAGATATCCACAGCTCCCTGTAGATGAGTCCTAATGATCCCCTTGGCTTTATCTTTTTTTAAATGAGGAGGTAAACATGTTTACTTATCCAGTCAAATAACACTTTCTGTATTAACGTTTGTGCCAATCCAACATGTAGATGTAGTCACGTTCCCACCAGATGAAACTTACTTACTTAGGTGTTCTCTAGCTCCATCATCAGGTCAAAATTTCAAGTTGTCCAATACATTAGTTTATGACTAAATGTCTGCACAACCAGTGACATTCCCATCAGCCTCAGCTGTGCTTTGTTTAGCTTACTTTTAATTGATGAAAACATTGACGTTTAAACTGTAAAGAAATGAAAGCTAGTGCTATACATATGATTGTGTGTGCTTAATTGTTTCAGTGAGTTTAATTTTTTTCTCATTTTCACAAATCCCTTGTGATACAGATTGCAGAAGACCTCTGGCCAGTTATTACGTTCACTTCATCATGACTGCTAAAGATCAAAAACTAATTCTGGACCTTAGCTTTGGTTTTCTTTACAGTATTTAATTGAGTAAAAGCAAAGCTGCTAGAGTAGCTGTGGACTATTTGTCTGCAAAAAGTTCTAAAATGTGGGTTACATTTGCTACCTTGACATAGAATAACACTTCGCGTTTTCTAGTGGATTGGGTTTTGTTCAGATTACTTGCATCAGTCCAATTGATGAAACACAGCAAATTAAGTTGTTTGTTTTTTTGTGTGTGCAGCTCCAAAGATTACAAGCTTTACAGTTGTAGAGAGAAAAGGCAGCTGTATGGAACATTTCAAAAGCTAAACTTCCCCTTCAAAATGTAATTACATCATTTACAGTGTGTTCTGTATATAAAAGACAGAGGTGTGAACTGCTGATATGAGTTCAACTGAGGGGGATCAGCAGTTTGAGGGTAGCTCCGCTTCACACAGGAACGGAGGACATCAGATTTTTCAAACCATGCACCACCATGATGGGATTTACCTCGCTCCTCATCTAAAAGTATAGAAAAGCTCACATCATATATAGCTCCACACACTGTTAGAAATGCGATTTCCTTTTCCTGTCTGTGATGCACCCATGGAGAGTTGGAGGTGGGTGATTCATCAACAGAGATTGATAATGAGAGTAACGCTCTTGATGTTCCTGCGGATCAAGGGAAAAAACTAAATACTTGGCATGGGGATGGAGGAAAAGAGGGATGGGCTGAATGGTGATTCATGAGGAAAGAGTAAAGACTCAACATCTTGGCTTTCAGTGTGACAGAAGATTGTAGTTAAGTGAGTTAGAGAGGGATGATTAATGAAGGCAGGTAATAAAGAGAAGAGTAACAATTCTTAACTCTGCAGTGAAAAATTGTGAAAAATGGACTGGAGACAGAGGAAACAATGGAGAAAGGGAGACTCGCTGAAGGTAGACGAGGAATGCACAGTCATGCCGCTTTCTTGTATTTTAGATATCTAGTAACTCAGCAGTGCACTTTTGTTCCACAGCCACAACACATTAATGGCCTCACCAGGGATTTCAACAGCCTATTCAAATCTTTCAAGCTTTTCTGTAAACAGTCACTCTGTTAAAGCAATGTATCATTATTACAAACCCAATCAAACTGAGCTTTAGGTGTTGCGGCGGGGAAGTACTGAAGGGAAGTGTCTTCTTTCTTGTCTCGCTGGGAAAGCACTGATTTGCTTGCAAGGCTCTGTTGAAAATTATCCAAGTGGTTGCAGACTTGTAAGAGGCATCCTGGGCTGTTTTTAAAAGATGTAGCTTGTCAGTGGGAGATTAATTGCAGTGACACAGTTTTTAAATAACTAGTGCCTTAACAACTAGAATATAAGGCCCTGATGTTTGACTTGAACATTCAAATGGAGTTGCACATTGGGACTTGGGCCCCCTCCCTACTTGACAACTCTGACTGATATCTCCTCATGTGTGATTATGTTTCTCATGAAAGGTTTAAAATCATCAAAATCAGGGGAAATATCAATTTCACATGTCACAGTTAAATTAGTAGTCATGGAGTTCTCCACAACTCTTATTGCATGGCATGTCATGTGAAATGAGTTGTACAATGTACTCAAATCTCTCTAAAGAAAATCTCCACTTTCCACTCTTCAAAATCACATAATGTCTTTGAATCTGCCAACTTCAATAGCCAGAAGAATAGTACCGGTTCTTCACTGTGCACCGTAAGATCCTTGGCTGCTCAATAAACGAGATGTAACGTGATTTAGGGCCCAAATTTTGTTTTAAACAAGATCATTTTACAGCTTTTGTTCTTCAAACTTGAATAAAAGCTTACTTCAATAGAGTTGAACATTACAGTACAAACATGTAGCATGGACTCCCTGGAAATCAGTATTGATACTGAGTGGAATATTCTGGTGGTAGAAAGTAAAATTAACTGACTACAGATTTATGATAGAAGGCCTGTGTTAGAAAATTGGACCGTGGAGTTCGGAAAGACGTGGGTATTTGCCAGGCAGGGAGTGTCTAACAAGACAATATTGAGTTGCATCATGGATAGGAACAAGTGAGTGAACAAGAGCTTGACCAATAATAGTCAATGAGGTAAGCCAGAGATCGAACAGTGAAGCTGACCAAAGTTTGCGTGGAGGGTTCCATCCAGGCCCACAAATGACGTCAAAACCCTGCGTCACCCTGTTGCACATGAGATGTAACAGTTTTGATTCAATTTTAAACTCTCTGCGAATCTAAAAAAAAAACTATTAGGCCATCAGTGATGCTACGTTGGTGTTTGGCAGGTGATCCTTGTACGTGGGCTGATCCGAGTCAGACGAACACGCTGAGCCAGAAGACTTTTGTTTGTGCAGCCATGCAGCTACCAGAACTACGGTGTTTCTGCCGTTGCTTTACGTCATTAAACCAGGGTTATGCTGCGCGATCATGTGCAGTAGACGCTGATGCCAACAGGAAGTAGCCCTGTAGTATTTCATAGGATCAAAACTTTTTTTTTTTTTTATTTACAGGTGCTGGTCTGTGTGGAATGAATGTATATATTATACAAGTTTCACTTTTTGAATGGAATAACTGAAATAAATCAACTTTTTGATGATATTCTAATTATATGACCAGCACCTGTATGTACAATACTAATTTGCAGCAGAACTCTCAGGGTCAGAGCAGGTGCAGCATGCTCCACTGTTAATACACAAAAACAGTAATATAAACTATATATAGAAAAATGCTTTATCATTTTAACAGTTTATCTTAAAGCGGAGCATTCTGTCCCATTAACACTGAAGATGGTCTAGAGACCAAAGGTGCTTACACACACAAGTTGGACTGTGCTTGTTCAGAGAATAAAGTGAGCTCAGCTAGCCTCACAAGCGCTAAAACCCCAGGGGAGTTGTGGTAGTCCCCGAGCCGTGTGTGAGCGCTTCATGTCGCTCTCTGGATAATTTGGCATCACATCTCTTAGAAATAGGTGTCAAGCTCTGTGTGTTAGAATTCTTTAGGGAATGTCAATTTGATCTAGTCTTATTTTTTTTCTCTTCCACCGTCTGATAGCACTATTTGACATGAAAAAAGGCATCTTGAAGAGTGTGGGCCCACTCCTTGTTCTCTCTAGTCCTTCAGCTGTCAATACAAATTCAAACTGTGGGTTGGGCTCAAAAATGTCACACTGGCTCTCTGCTGGTGCCTCCAAAACTACTAGTAGTTTATATTTTGAGTTTGGTTCCTATTCCCCCTTTGAGCTTCTCTCTCATTTTATAATAAAAGCTGCAGAATTGAGTACAAACAGGAATGTCTGTGTGAGAGACAAAAAGTTACCCAAATGGTGGTTTTTAAGCTTTTTTATTGTTGGGTCAGATTACAGTAATTGACCCCATCTCTTTAATGGTCCAAATACCAAATAGAAGTTAACAGGAAGCCTTAAATCTGTGTCTCCGTTTATTACGATAGCAAAGCAATGCATACAGTGTCCTGTTCCCAGTCAAGACTCCACTTATCACCATTATGCTAACAGGGGTCGCTATTACCATAATCATATGCCATTATAAATAATGAAAGAATGAATACATGTGATTTTAATGAATGTTTCCTCACTCTTTTTTTCTTCCCTCTTCATTCTCAGGTTTGTCTTGTGTAGTTGGCTAAATCAAATGATTAAAGAGACTGTATAGATGAAAACATTGTTTTATTTCTCATTCGGCTCTTCTCTCTGGGTCACTCACTATTTAATCTTCACAGACAGTGTCTTTATAAAAACAAAGACTCTGTCACCATTTTGTCTTTTGGTGAAAATCATTGTGGAAGCCACACAGCGAACAGGACTTTACAGCGAATGGTGCAGCCGCTGCAACTTCATAAACTCTGTAAAACTTAAAACCAAGATTACACCATGGAAAACTGTAATATTATCCTGAATAGATTCTGTGTGTGAGTTTTTCCTGATGTTTGTCCGATTAAAAGGCCAGTGGTCATGTACCAGAGAGAAATAATAGCACCTCTCCTTGTCCTAAGCAAACTGAGATATCATCTGTGTGCAGAAGCTGTACTCTTAATATCTTGTGCTCAGTCTGTGGTGAAATTGAAAAACCTCACTAAGGGCTAAACTGAGCTGATATTCTCCTTATCCTCCACTTTTCTTTTCCTAAACAAAAGAAGGGATTTAACATGAACAGTAACGCATAAATTTCTCTTTCTCTGTCTCAGGTGACTCCCTCCTCTAAGATCGTGGGTGACTTGGCCCAGTTCATGGTGCAGAACAACCTGACCAGGGCAGAGGTGGAGGAAAGGGCCGATGAGTTGTCCTTCCCCCTGTCTGTGGTAGAGTTCTTGCAGGGATACATTGGGATACCACATGGAGGATTCCCAGAGCCGTTCAGATCTAAGGTACAGTAGATAATCCCACATAACTTTTAAAATAACCCTGTATATTAATTTCCCCCATCTGATAACTGACTTTGGATAATTTCCCTTCAGGGTTTCTTGAATATGAATAAATCTAGTCACACACAACTGTCAAACAAAACCATCTTACAAAACATAACTTTTTTTTTTCTTTTTTACTTTGTCGTCTTCACTTCTTCCTTCACTTGTACTTTAAATGTAACCACCTACCACAAACATGCGGGAGAGCCCATTTAAACGGCACACTTGCAAGTGCATACGCACACACACATTTTGTCACATGCTTGGTTACATCTGACAATTTCACACAGGGAAGAAAACCGTGATATTGCTCTGTCCTCTCATCTCCTTTCTGTGTCTTTACCTCTGTCTACTTCTCTTGTCTCCTGTCTTCATGACTTCAAACAGCAAAGGAGAGGGCTCAACAGCTCTAGGTCTCCTTGGGAGAGTTGCATGAAAACACTTCTGTTTTTGTCAGTTTTTTTTGTCACTTTCTCCTGCTTTTTGTGTGTTTAAGGAAGTGAAATGAGTGGATGCCCCCCCACTAGTATCCACAGGTGTTTCATAATGTATTATCAATGAGCTGACTCCTAAAATGTGAAATATTTGGTGTGAGACCCTGTCTGTACTTTTCCACAGGAAACTCATTATATCCCCATGTGTGGCTGAGAATTGAACAGTCTGTGTGTGCGTATCCACTCATGCAGCTACTGAACATTTGTACACGTATTTGCAGACCTTGAAATACTTGCGCAGAAGCTAGGAGATAAAATATAAATATAATTATCTGCCCCTTTATTGATTAATGGCATTGAATTTAACTTATTAGTAAATGATTTTCCTGCACTGTCAAGGTCATCTTTAGTTTCAGCTTTTTGCTCATTTCATCACTTGATTGTTAGTTTGTCTTGTCTCTCCAGTTACTGTTTCTCTGTTATCTTTCCTCCTCTTTGTTTCTCCTCTCAGTGAAACTAACTCCTTATATCCTGTCACCCTTATCATCAAGTTGTCTTTTCTCCCTGTCTCCTTACACTGGTGTACAGTTGGGAGATTATATGATCAAATATTTGATTCCCAGGCAAGTCCTCCCGTTGACGCATACAATGCAACCCTGTGTCCGCTACCTCTCTATTAGTGTCTCTCATCCTGTCATGTTTCTCAAAATGTGTCACTCCTATGAAACAAATAAGATGGTGGACAGCTTCTGTATTCATTCAAGTCTTAAGGTTTCCTCTTTCCTTTATTTTATTTTCAGTCTGCGCTGGAAAACTTTATGCTGAGCGAAGCCACCATGCTTCTCTAGCATACATACATGCAAAAGGTCACATTGTTGGCCACTGAACTTTTCCCCTCTACTACCTTTTGTATATTGTAGAGGAGAATATTTGTTGTTGCATTTTCTTACGATCCAGTCAGCTTTCATCAGTGTAGTCTGAATTATAGTGTTCTAAGTACAGCTTCAACAGCACTTGTAGAACTGCTGCCAACTTCTCATCTCAGCCAGAACAGTCGAGAGTATTCCTCTAAATCTCCCCCTGCAGATAACGACTCTACGTAGAGAGAGACAATCCACCCTTGATATTTAATTCACAAACACCGGGAGGCTTTTCCACACACAGCTCACTGAAGAACTTGTTTTCTCCATCCCTCTGAATCTGTTAAATTCATGTGTTCAGCTTTGGTACAAATAAGTTTTCTTTTTTTTTTTTTTAAACAATGTTTTCATTTGCATGCTTAGTGTGTGTGTATGTCTGTGTGTGTGTGTGTGTGCGCCTGTTTTTACCTGATTTATCTCAGACTTGCAAGCTGCAAGTCTGAGATAAATCTGATAAAGATATCCAGTGTGTGACTAACAAGTACTTTCAAAATATAAAATAAAAATAATTGGTGTCAAAGTTATATAAGTTAAATGAAGTAAAAGTTGTTTTAAAGGGAGGAAAGTAGAACATTACTTTAATTATTTCCTAAAATAAAGTTTGCTGCAAGTTCTAGTGTCATTAGCTTATTAGTTAGCAGCTGTACATTTTCTTGTATGCAAGCATAGACAATGTAATGGGTTACATTGCTGCAAGCAGGATTGAGATATCTGCATCCCTGTGTGCTGCAGCTAAAGGTTATTTTGTATGCTAGCAGCATGGAAGAAGTCATGTTTCTTTAATGGAGCTTTGATGACATTAATTAGTTAGCAAGCAGCCATTCCAGCATTATATCATACACTCTCACATGCATTCATTTCACAAGCTGTTTTGCATGCATGGGGAAAACTTTTCAAGACACAAATTGGTAATTGAGGCATTTTGTCATCTATGTTCTGTCACGCACAGTTCATTTGCAGCGTGGGTGGACAGAGAGAATGGACAAGGGAGAGGAAAACAAGAAAGACAGTAAAGCAAAGGAGAGAAAGAAGCAGATGGTGGGAGGATGGACAAGGAGAGAATAAGGGGGCCATTAGGAAGAAAGTGAATTCAAGAAATAAGATGGTCGTTAAAAAATACAGCACATCCCTCAGAGTACCGCACTCGAAAAGAAGGAAAGAGGAAAAAATGAATGACAATGAAAAACAGAGTGGGAGTGTGTTGAGTGATTTAAAGATAAATGAGAAAGCGCAAATAACCTTGAAGGAAGAGTTTGTCTTTCATTCATTTGTTAATGCAGAAACTCACTCCTGCTCTCACTCACTCACTCACACTCTCTCTCTCTCTCTCTCTCTCTCTCTCACACACACACACACACACACACACACACACACACACACACACACACACACACACACACACACACACACACACACACACACACAGTCAATATCTGTCCATGTCTCACACTTAAACAATCAAGCAGTTTAGGTGTAAGACATCCTCAGAGGACGCCATGTTAATGAGCAGAGACTCCAACAAGCCTGCCATCTTTGAAGTGTCTCTCTCTCTCTCTCTCATACACACAAATGAGTCAGCTATCTTTATAACGTTAGCTCTGTGACTAATAGCATTGCACTGGGGCCTTTGTCTGGAGATTTCCACAAGGCACACACACATGCACTCATAACCGTGCCGATATGTTACACAGACGCAAAGACTAGTGAAGATATGAAACGCACACTGACTAGAATACCAAGTGTGTGCATACATTTGCAAACATAACGTGGATATATGCACAGCAGGTATGCTCACAGGAGAAATATGGTCAGTTGAATGTGCTATTTGATGCTTAAGTATAAATGAGTGAAAACATGCCTGAATATTACCAATACAGTAGTTGGCATGTTAGCTTAAGCAATGATCTTTTTAACCTGAATGAAACTAAGATAAGCATAGAGGTAGGTAGCCCAAAAAGCTTTGCTATTAGCTTTTTATATATATTTCAAAGAAACATTTGCTGAAGCACTGAAGCAGACTTAATAGGCTAATTTTATGGAGATTATTGCAACTGTCCCTCCCTTCCTCTGAGCCCGTGTAGACTGTGTCATCAGGAGCTGAAGAAATCTGTGAAAAGAAAAACAAAACGTCAGCCTTTAGGTAAAATGCCTGTGTCTTGAGATAATCTCTCCACCAGACATTATTAGTAGCCTCGGATCGATTGGCTCTACAAGTGGTCTGATATCAGCTACTGTGTGGGCAGATAAAATGTCATATCATTAGTCTTATAGCAGCTCCACTTTACACAGTTATCCTCTTTCTTGTCTGTCTCTTTCCTCTACTATTTCTCGGAAGAAACAAGGATGACATATCACATAAGCAGCAACACTGCAGTCATCTGTGATAGGCTGATGGTACTTGACTTAAAAGAGAAAAATATGAATTGAGAGATGGAGGGAATCTAAAAGTGCATATCACTGCAGATATTAACACAACAGTGGTGCCACTTTTATGCAAATAAAAAATTACTTGCGCAAGTTTTATATTCTCTCTCCCTCGCTTTCTACCTCAAAACAGCTCCCCATGCATCTCTATCTTCCTCCTCCTCTCACCCAAAGTCTCTGTCACTTTAGTGTTTTGTCAGGGTGTAGCTTTTATCCAGACGTATATTTGTGAAGTACAATGTAAAGGTTTTGCTAGCACTTTATACATCCCACATGCTTCAGAGCCCCGTGGGGATATTATGAGTGGGAAAACATTCAGAAAGCTTATGTATGCATGACTTTGAATAAAAACTTCAAGTATTCTCTTTTGTTTCTCCTTTGTTGCTTCTGTTGTGCACCTTCACCTCCTTTTATCTTCTGTTGTTTCCCCTCTACCTTCTTCACATCCTCCTTTTCTCTTGTTACCCTCTTATCCCAGGTGCTTAAGTCCCTTGTCCGTATTGAGGGTCGTCCTGGCGCCTCTTTACCAGCTTTGGACTTCAAGGCCCTGGAGGAGGGGCTCCGAGCTGCTCACAGTGATGAAATCACCCCTGAAGATGTGATGTCAGCAGCCATGTACCCCAAGGTGTTCCAGGAGTTCAAGGAATTTACTGGTAAGTTGGCAGACATCATAATTGATCTTTGTATTTGGATACTTACAACGGATTATGAATAGGAATCAACAAATTGTTTTATTTCAGTTTTTAATTATTGAAATGTGCATTTGCATCAAATTGGATCTGTTGAACAAGTCTGGGTTTATGGCATTTGGTCTGGACGCTCTCTCACTCTCATTTTTATTATTACTGGGGCTTGAAATTGGCAGCCAACTGAAAGTCAGGAACACTCATTATAAAGTTAAACCATTGGATAAAAATGTTTTTAATTGTTTCATTTGGCAGTTTGGGAGTCTTACATATTGGAAAACAGTCACATGTTTCAGATTCAGGGGAAGGGTGTAGTTGAACCCCCAAGGGACACTTGTCATTCAGATGTTGAACAGACGGTAACGCACGATTAGGAAACCAGAGCAGCAAGGACTGTTTGTAGTGAAAGACAACAGTATAACTAGAAAAGGCATTTTTAGCAGGTATATGTTTGAAGTACATGAAGGCAGCAGCAACATGTAGCAGCAGAGATGTTTAATAGGATGCCTTTTACAGTAGAAGAGTCCAGTTTCCAGACTTGACTTTTAAGTTGTTAAAAGCAGCTACAGTGGAGTGAGGAAATGTTCGCATTACACTGCTAGCGCTTTTTTATTTATTTTTGTGAGGAGCTTTAGTGTACAGTTGTTCCTTCTCTACACCAGCTTAAGACTGAACACACCCATGAACCCAATCTTAATCCTCAGTTTTCTCCAATTCCAGGTCTGATATCAAACATTGATTAAACTAGTCCCTTTTTACACTGGCATCCCCTGATTTCTCCAGGTCTTAAATTAGTTGTGTTAAGCTGTGGGATACTTGCATGCACTTCCATATACAGTACAGACAACAGAGCCAAAGAAATCATTAACACATACATTGTAGATTTTGATTGTCATCATCAAAGATTAACACCATAATTACAAAACCATGCAGTGGATATTGAAACAGTCACCTCTGTTCCTCTTTCTCCAGCTAACTTCGGTCCGGTGGACTGTCTCAGCACCAGGTTGTTCCTGGATGGACCCAAAATCGCAGAGGAGTTTGAGGTACACAACTTCATACTACAGACCATTTAGAGGATCATATTTAGGTAATCCTTTAAAGGGGAAATCGTTTTTAACAGAAACCACATGCCCTAGACTTAAACAGGTATGCGGCTACTAGACAGGAAGGGTCTAATCAAAAGCTGTTGCATTATGGGAAGTGCGGGGTCAAGTGTTTTAGTGGTTGGCCTAGTATATTGAAGACTAATAGCCCAGATATCTTGAACTTTGCAGCACATATCTTGATCTTTCTGATCGTCCTGTTTTCTGGAAATGCACTGATGCCATCCTAACATTAGCCATTGTTTTCTTTTTGCTTGACAAAGACTGACTGAGTTCAAAAGGTTTATTGCAGAATCCTTGCACTTTCATGTCACATTTGTAATAAAACAAGCCAAAAATGTACAAAGATACTCTGATAGAGTATCAGTTCAGAGAACTGGTGTGATACCAGGTTTATCATTCAGTAATTCTCACTAACGCTGTGATGATACATTTAACATTAATAATCATATATTTAAAAACACATGCCACTCCCCAATTAATTCTGATGTAATAACAGGTCCATAAAGGACAGACATTATCAGCAGGAAATGATTTGTCCGCCACTGCAGATGGCTGAGGTGTCATGCAGTTTGGTGCAGTCACAGCGAAGTGCTGATCGCCCAGTAGGGTGGACAGATTAACTCTTTATCATGGGAACAATAAACGGCATTTCTGATCCCTCTGGCCATCAGACTGGCCTTCCCTCACAGAAATAACAGATTAATTTTGTTGTATGATGTTTGAGAGCGGTAGAGTGAAATGCACCGAGGGCCTATTTCTCAGAATCAAAATATAACCGTTACAGATTTCTAAAGCTTGTACCGTTTGTTTTATGCTCCAACAGGGAGGCAGCTGAACATGCAGTCCAACGAAGGGATAAAACAAATGAGTTGAATTGCTTTGCATGCAAACAAATTAGTGGGGCACAGGAATGTAACAATCTCTCTGTGAGAGGATGCAGTAATTGGCTGTCACTTATGACTGCAAAGCCTCAAAATCTGAAACTGAAACGTTCCTGGGGAATTGTGACGTCTTAGAAGAAAACCGTTTCCTGTGAACTCCAAACATACATTAGCAGAATCGGCAGGCTAGAAATTGGTTTTAACATACATGAATAACCAGTCAGCAGAAAGATTTCAAGATGTCTGCCGTGCTGATTGAAGGTTTCTCTCAGAACAGGAGACAGCAGGTTTGTTTTTATCCCAAAACCACTTTGAGCAAAACTAAAGCGATTGTTCAAGACCAGATTGATTGAAGAGTGAATTCCAAAGAGTGTTGAAACTACTGACGCTAACCTTTGCGACAGATGCCAGAATCCAAAGCCAGATCAAAGAGAAATGTTGCTTTGAAGGAGATGTTGGAAGAGCCTGTCACTCAATCTGCCATCACGTAACGAAAAGTTTCTTTTTATGACATTCAAAACTTTAAAAGGCTGTAGCAAAATCTACCTATTTCAGACTTATACATTGGGTAATGACACGCAGACTTGGAGAATCATGTGGCTTCTTAAAACTAGATTGTGTAAAAAGGACACAGTGTTGAAGAATATAAATAGTAAACATTTAGATTTGAACTTTATTTGACCCAGAGCATGAAACTCAGACACTACAACACACAAATGTATGTTGACAGAGGGAACGCAGGCATAGCAAGATGTGTTGTATACAGTTTTGTTTTGAGATAAGCAGTGCAGTTATGAGTCTAACGTGCTTTTAGAGTGGCGATGCCGTACGGAAAACCCATTTTTATTACACAGTAGGACAGTGTACCTGTGATCAGACAGCAGCTGTATCAATCAGTCAAATAGGAGGTGAGACAGGTCAGAGAGGACGGCTGTGACATTGTTTGTTCTGTATGTTTTTGAGAAACAGGTGGTAGTGTGCATGGGGAGAACTGCCTCTGTGCTGCAGGATGTGGGGGCGACAGTAATATAAGGAGATGAGGCCTGAGGTTGAAACATGAAATGGTGATGTGAGTGATCCTTAGTATGCTATAGATACATTTTGTTAAGTAATGACATTCTATATTTTTACTAAATTGGACTTTATTCACCTTGATTATTTGATGTTCCTGGGTTGGTTCATTGCCTTTGGTGTTAGCTGAGGTGATTAAATGAAGTTGGCTTAAAAAGAAAAATTGTCATGCTAACTTTGCATTTGCCATATCTGTTGTAAAGAATCGGGAAATGTCACTCTAGCAAAACAATGCATTTCAAGGCCAGTAGCGCAAACCTCCTTAAGCTTTCCGAGTAAACTTATATTTTGGCCGTCCCCATATTAATTTTTTTTGCGTAACAATATATGGACGAGATGGTGGCACTAGCTAGCTTGGTTAGCAAGGTGCATCTATAATTCACGTAACCGATTTTAACCAGGATGCTTATTTTGGCTAGTAAAAAACAGGCTTAAAACAAAATGTACTTGCCGGAAAGAATGAACTGCCAGCTCCTAATAAGCTTTTTCAACGGCGCTGGTAAAATTTATACAGAGTAGTAGATATGCGTCGCCTCTAAACCTGACAGGTCGCCATGCTAGCACCTTATCAATCACAAGGTTGTCCTGCCCTTAAGCAAACCCTGCATAATTCACAAAATGACCATTTTAGGGTCATTTTGCTATTATTTCTAATTTAACCGGACTTCTTTTTGCAACCACTGGTTTAAGGCACTTCTGCATTGGCTTCACTTTTCAGACCCTGAGGTTCCCGCTTGACTGTGAATTGTCCCCTATTAAATAGGTTAATTTAGCTGAACACAACACGGTAATAATTGGATCTGATGGAGGCTACTCTCATAATGGTGCTTATAGACCAAAAGCGAAGTGAGCGTTTGAGGCAGTGAGTTTACATACAAAGTCAATGCAACGACGTGTAGAGCCGCGATTTACTGTCGGGCGGCGCGAAGGGGGCGGGGCCGGCAACGCATCATGCGACAGCCAGTGTTGAGATTGTCCGTACGTCAACGACTGCTTCAGAGCGATGTGTGGAGAGGGCCAGGCAGAGCAGTGGATTGACAATCTGTTGGCCGGCTGAGAGCTTCTAAACTTTGGGGAGAGGAGCAGGGAGCAGCGCTGCAACCTTTGGACAAATAAACCAACGTAGTCGGTCAGATTCTGCTCTGACAACTACGCCGTTTACTCGCAGGAGGAGCTCGGACTTAACTGCTTTTATTAAATTAGCTTTTTACTTTAGTTTTTGGGATTTCAACATTGATTTACCTTCACTGGAGCCTCTCAGCAGCTAGCTTCCATGCACATCCGGTTCCAGGTTAGCGTCGTTAGCTCTGTCGGACTACGACTTCATATTTATTTAAAAACTGGACATTACTTGGAGAAAAGAAAGCGAGGAGGTTGAACTACCTGGTGAGTTCAGAAAACATGTGTCTGTAACTTTATTCCAGCTATCATTGTACTGTGACCAAGTTAGCATAGCATAGCCCTGATCGATCCAAACTCCATTTAGAAAACAAACATTTTAGAAGTTGTTGTCCTGCTGACTTGCTGACAGACCTGACAAAGCACGAATTCATGTTTAACAAATCTGTATCATGTTGTAGTTATTTCGGCATCAGTTTGATCCATTTATTGCTATTTAATCACAGCAAAATGTTTACTTTGGGTTCATACAGCTATAGTAATGGCAAGTTGTGTTTATTCACGTTATCGCGTTAAAATCACTTTCTCACCTTGTGTATGAACACTTGCAGCCAATGTACTCACGCGAGGAAAGTGTTGCAAGGAGAAAAGTTGCGTTTGGTCTGAATGCCGCAACTCTCCTCCTCCTTTACAAAGGTTGACCCAGACGTAGCTTTATTTTTTTCAGAACATTTGACTCCGCCCATACAGCCACGAAGTCTTCAACGAGCTCCCGTCTTACATCTGCCGATGTGGTCAACTTTTGAGAGTTTGTTGAATTGATGAGCTCTTGCTAGCACACTGACTCTTTGATATGACGGCGGCCGCTGAGCCCCGCCCTCGCTGAAATACCCAAACAGAGAGCAGAGGAGAGAAGCAGCACCCTTTAAATGACACCAAAACTGTGTTTTCCATGCTGTGGAAGTCATTGGGCCCTGCTTTTTAATAGTTTAGATGAGTTGATAGGCAATAAGTCCTCCTGAAATTGATTTCCCACCTTTGAAAGCCTGGTGTTCATTGAAGTTGTCCTTTCTAACGAGGACAATTTCCTTCAGTGCTAATGTCGAAGTGACGCATGCCTAGAGCCAACTGCTGGTGGTTCACTTACATAAAGTGTTTCAGCTTTGTGGCAAAATAAAATAACTTGGAAAAACAAGAGCATTTTAAAATCTCTATTATTTTCCAAGGTGCTTTTAAAATCCACTTTTTTAAATACATGTATATATTGTGAAGTTCTGTGTTGAGAGAAAACATTTTTCACCTGCTGCAGGGACAGGTGACTCACCACTCTATTATCCCCTCTTCAATATTTTGTTATAGTTTAAATAAAACTTTTTTTAAAGAGCACTTTTGTGCATTGATGGAATTAAAAATTTGCATGACAACATGAAAGTGAATCTGCTTTCCCTTCAGCCACCTGTTGCCTTTCACCACTTTCACAAGGCTCATTGTCTACATCACTCATACTCCTCTTTCAACCGTCACTGGTTATAATTATAATCCCAGTAAAACACATCATTCATTGTAAATCTTTTCCTTCTACATCTCTCTCTCCCTCTCATTTTGTTTCTTTCAATATTTTTTTCTTGATTCTCTCATTGTGAGAAGCGCATACACAGATTTAAGTGACCATGTTTAATTACTGGTTCGTTTCGGTGCAGCAAATGGTTTCAAGCTGGTGTTAATTGATTTTTATATTGTGAGGGACGTGGGGAGCACTTTGTCTCTGCTGCTGTATTATTATCAATGAATTAGGAGCTCCATTCATTGTGCTGATTTAGTATTGACCCTAAAAATGGACAGACCTCCTGCCCTCCCTTCTAGTCC